CACTTGAGGGCTTGTGAGCATCAACACTCCTCCTCCTTTGGCGATAAAGTATCGCCAAATGCGACTCCCGATGCTCATCTGCCTTCGGGAATCGTTCTGCCCTGCAGGACCTTGTAAGAGAGCGGAAAGTGCCCATCACAATAGTAGCAAACTTGCATCTTTCTCAGCCTCGACTTGTTTGCATGTCTCAAGCCATGGCAATCTGCCACTAGATGAAGTCGATCTCCATGTTCTGACATCACGAATGACGTTCTCAGTCTCTGAAACCCGCCTTCTCGTGCATTGTCCAGGGCTGCTCTCAAATCCGGATCGTCCTCAGGGGCTCTTGTACTTGACCTCGTAGTTCTTGTAGCTTCACTCATAGGCCCTTGTGACACCTCCGATAACGGTGTTGCAGCAAGTTTGGGCGTAGACACCACTGGCTTCTCCACATTGATGGGGTCCGAAGAACTTGCACTCATTGACTCCAACTCCTGCTGCAGAGCCTTTGAGGCCTGGTTACGGATCCTCAGCAGCCGTCTGGCTTTCGCCACAGTAGCCTCGTCTTCACCGAAGCATCTCTGCATCACCCACTTCAGGGCTTCCCAGACCGCCAACAAAGCTATCCCACCAACCAGCAAGAGCACGTAGAACTCCACGCTTCCGTCATAATCCAGAGGCTTCTTACTGTAGATTCCTGTTGCCTTGACCCCCGGGATCTTTGACACCATCATCATCCATGCCATCATCAACAGGTCGTAATAGTCTCCGCCGCGTAGACTCCGAATAACGACCTCCTCCTCTTCAGCATCGAAGTCCTCTGCAGAGCACATCCCCCATAACTTTCGGAGATCAACCAACCTCGCCATTGGAACAGGCTTCGTCCCCATGTCCGCAACTTGCACCTCCCCTGGGGTATGTACGACCTTGATGCGGCCTTCATTGGTCTCGAACCTCAAATGGCGTGCCTTGACCTTCAGGTGCCGTGTCTTCCACGAGCCCGGCGCTGTGGTTGCCAGGCCACACGCTGCTGTATTGTCCACTCGCAGGATCAACGGCTTGCCAGAGTCCTCTGGAGCTGCTTCCTGCACCCAAGCCTGCAGTCCCGCGGCCTGTTGACTGGCGTTCACCAACTCCACCAACTCTGCTTCAGCAGCCGACAACACCACCGTAGGCTGTTTTGTCATTCTCCATGCCGCAAATCCACCATAGGTCGCCGTAGTCACGCAGCCAAAGCTGCGATCGCCCTGTGGGGCAAAGCTGGCGTCTGAATACGCCTCGACGGGCTCGCCGATCCCATTGTAGGTCAGCCCCCACGTAGGTGTGGCTGCAAGATATCTCATCACCATTTTTCCTAGCCGTATTGCAGCTGTAGGGTTCTTCAGAGCCGTTCCACAAACATGAGCCGTCGCGTACCCGATATCCGGTCTGGTGCGGGTCACCAACCAGAGTAGTTCGCCTGCCATCCGCTGAGCTTGTTTGACCTGACTTGGGTCTGGACTCTCTTGTTCGAATCCCTCCTCCTCATCCAGATCATCCTGTGCCGGCATGGTGTCCTTGGTGGCCGGGACTTGTGAAGGCCGACTTGCCTCCTGTTGGTAGCCCATCAACAGCTCGGCAACATGACTGCCCTGCGACACATGGAAGCTCGTACAGGTTGTATCTTTCCGGCGAATGTCCATGCCCAGGTAGCGAACAGGAACCTTCCCAATCCACTCCATCGGTGAACACTTCCAACCTTCATCTCCCTCAGCACCAACAGTGAGCCATTTATAGATGTCTTTGATGACATTCTCTGGCGCCAACATCATCACATCGTCCACATAAATCACCATCAACGCCAGGGTATTGCTGTAGTCACTGCACGGCACCAACCTCCACACTGCAGGATCTGTCTCCATCTGTAAGAACATGCACTCTTGTCCCTCAACGACCAGTCGAGCTCTTTGCACCCTCTTGTCCCTGAAGCTTCCCCACAGTCTTGGCGCCTCTCGCAACCCGTAAAACACCCTGTCCACCAAATACGCCGTGTTCGGCGGAACTGCTCCAGCTTCCACGACGACTTTCGGTACGGTGATTCCATACTTGACTTCTGCTTCATTCATTGGCGCCAGGGTAAAGGCGGAATTCACGTCCGTCACCGCTCCAAACCAACGCCGCCTGGCAGCGAGCGATAGTGCCACCCGCACTGATTCCGCGTTGGCCGCGGCCGTGTAGACTTCGACCTCGTTGCTGACGTGATTGCCACATATCACCATTCTGGTTTTTCTTTTGTACAACTGATTGCCACTTCCTCCCGAAGGAGGTTTCACGGTGTGCACCGTTTTGGACGGTACCAGGACAATCTCCCCGGCGTCCGCGAGGCGCTTAGCTTCTTGAAATGGTAATCGACGAAGCGTACCAGATGTTTCCAAAACCTCAATCTCCTTCCGAATGCTCTCTTGCCACTCCGCCAAGTGACGCTTGACCTCCTGTAGCTCGACCCCGTGCACGGTGTCAATCGGCTCAACCAAAGCCTGGAGCATCTCTTCCACCTCCGAAGTCGTCTCAGACTCCTGGGCCAACTTCATCATACTCATAGTCGCCTGCTCCCTCGCCTGGTGACTCAAACAGAGGATCTCGTTCATGTAGTCAATGGCATCGTCCAGCTTGTAGAATAATTGACGCTCACGTTGTGTGGCATACTCCCCTCGCTCGGCTTGCCTTGCTTTGATCTTGCGTTCTTCCTCCACAAACTCCGACAGCCATGTCACCCTGCTTCTCATCCGCTCCTCCTCATCGTGCGCCAGCGGCAATAGAGGGGCTGATGTCATCACGACCTCCTCACCCTGACTTGAGAGGTCCGGAATGTACTTGATGGCCCACTTCAACCGAAGCTCCACGCGACCTCCTGGACCACCATGCTATCCAACCGCTCTCCACCCATTTCAGGAAGATGCTCCCTCTGCCCCGACCTTGACCCCGACGAAGACGATTGTAGTGTATGAGGTGCTGGGGTGCCTGAGCTCACGTCCATATGATCCTCTGACACCGGCCTTGGCAAGGTTGACTCGCTTGACGACCCTGGCCCCAAGAAGCTCGCCCCTGAAGTCATCACCGTGTTTGTTGCTCCGGTCGGCGGAGCTGCTGTGGTCCCAGTCGATGGACCTACAACTCCTGGATTCTCCTCCGGGATTGGTGGTGTGGGTGGCCTTCGCCTCCCATCAGCATTCATCATCTTCACCACTGGCTCACGTTCCGGTAGGACAAAACCCAGCTCCTCCAAATCAGCGCACTGACATTGACGTAGCTTCTCCCACTTGCTCACCGTGTAGCCTATCACCACTATGCGATCTCCATCATCTCCCCGAAGTGGTGCATGTAGGCGATCTGGGCGCACCTTGGCTGGGGTCTCCGCGCTCATCTTCTGTCCTGGTACTTCCCTTTCGTTCACCCACATTGAGCAGTAGTTTCCCTTGAACTCATCCCCCTGCTTTAACTCCTGCCAAACACAGCTTCCTTTGGCAACCTTGAGGGGCGATATCAAGTTCATCGCCTTCTTGTGGTTGAACGAGTCTCGGTGTATTGGCATGACCGCATTCTTCACCAGCGCCATTGATGTAAACGCCGACCCAGGGTGGTCGATCGCCAGGAGCTTGGCAGCCAAGATAGCCTCTTTGTTGAACTTCTCCGTCGCCTTGGTAATGCTTGTGATTCCTCCATGCTGGTACGCCCCCAGGTTTATGTAGGCCGCGCCATCCCAGACTTCGCACTCCTTCATCTGAGGTCGCTCCACTTTGGCCTGAGGCGAGTCTCAGATTTTGGACTCCAGCAGCTCCTTCACCAAGACCGTCCTTTCTTGCTTGCGAATGGCCCGCAGCTCGGGATCACTCAACTTAGTCTTTCCCCGCACACGCCTGGTAGGATCGATGAGGTCCACAACGTGCTCTTCTTCCTCCAGCTCCATTTCGTCATCCCTCACCGTCCTCATATGCAGAGTGCGAAGCCATAGACTATCATCCAAACGAACCACATGGCCTTCACGAACATCATCAGCTGGCCCCATATACTTGCCTCGCTCCCACTTTGGATCGAACGGCCCTCGGTCCTTCTTGGACTTCACCCAAACAACGGAACCAAACTTGATGCCCGCAGTCTTCGTGCCCATTTGTCTTGCATTGTGCTGCAAGCAAGCGTACTTCATAGCACAAGGCCAAAACTCCTTGTCCAACTCCATCTCGTTCAGGTGTACTCGCGCCCTGCCTTTGAGCCACTTCACATGACTCTCCGCTACCGCATTTTGTGTAGGCGCCAAGCCTTCCGTGAACGTCTGGTAGATGTCCCGCTCCCGACACCATTTTCGTACCGGTTTGACCCGGAATTCTCGAGCTCTATCACTGTGGATCCTCGTCAACGGTAGCCCCATTGCCCTCAACTGAACATACAGGTCCTGGATGCACTCGAGGATCTCTTTGCCCGTGTGCCTTTCCAACGGAATGCAAAACCTGAGCATCTGCAACTCCATCGGCTTCCGTAGTTCCGCCACTTTCTTCTTCCATTCCTCCTCCTGTGCATCACACTCAGGATCTTCGGGAAGTTCTGGTGCTTCCGGCTCCGCTTCCTCTTCTCTCAAGAACTCCTCCGCCTCCTCCTCATTCGGGATCGGAGCGTCCTCAGGCACGTCCCGCATCTTCGGGTAGAGGTAGGTCGCCGCAAGCACAAAGCGATACTTCTTTCCTCTAACCTCATCCTTGCCTTTCTCTGCAAACGGGCCGGCTATGTCCAGGCTCATCACGTAGGCATCCCTATGGACCACCCTTCTCGCTGGCCTTCCCGTGCCTGATGCCGTCAAGCAAACTGAGCAGTCACGTCTGTAAGGCCAATGCCCACGTTCGACATGAGCCTTCCACTCCTCTAGCTCCTTTTTCGTCATTGCCTTCTTGACCACTATGGGGCTCTCACCATTTTTCCACTCATGGATCGCGTCCGCCAAAGTGATCCGAAAACCATAAGGCCAAACTGACTGGTCTGCATCCTTGTTGTCTGCCGCAACATAGGCTCTCTGATCCTTGAGTCCCTGTATACCCAGACCCAGATTGCTCAGGCAACAGGTACGCCTCCGGAACAAGTGTCCCAAAGCACCCTGCTCGAACTGGTACTTGATGAGGTTGGTCTCTTTGATGAACTCCTTCATGAACTCGGTCCTCCACACTGAGACACATGAGCTGCGGTGTTCACCTTCTGGCATGTAGTTGTAGGGGTCCTCGGGGTACTCCATGCAAAACCCAACGCGGTTCTGACTATCTTCAACCTGCTCCCCGTGAGCGGCCTCCGCGCATAACCGCAACCACACCATCTTGCAGAGCATGACATTCTCGTTGAGGACCTTTGAGCTCTCATCAGGATTGAGACCTTCACGTAGTCCCCAAGGTTCGTGTGTCGAACGCAGAGCCTTCTTGTAGCCATCCGAGTCTCTCTTGTAGTGCCATGGAGAAAACGTTCCTGCCGGTGGGCCTCCAATGACATGCCTTATGCGTCCCTGCTTTGCCATCCACAATAGCACGCCATAGATCTTGCCGTCGTTGAGGTCCCAACCCTTCTTCATGTCAATCTCCACAAAGCCAGGGAGGTCACGTAGAGGATCGTTCTTCACCCCTAGGCCCGCAAACATATGAACAGTCCACTCATGAGCTTGCCATAGTCCCCTCCTCTTGGCTCTGTTCATCGGAAACTTCTTCATCCACTGCCATGCTTCCCCATCGTCCTTGGGAAGCGGAACAATGGTTTGAAGCTGATCCTTCATCGGCATGTGGTGCATGAACGGTGCACACATCACCGCCTTGATCCCATCTTCGTACACACCGGAAGCGACATAGGCCTGAACATGGTCCTTCCAACTCTTCTCCTTGTGCTCTTTTGCCGCCATCACCGACGCCTTCAGCTGTGCCAAGGAGCTCATCGTTTCAGCAAGCCTTGCCTCTTCCAGCTCGGCAATGAGGCGTAAGGCATCACACTGCATAACCTCCGGACAAGTAGACCGCGTACACACACGAACTTCTTTCCTGTCTGGGTGCCGAAGTCTGCAGCCTCTGTGGTCCCAAACAAACTCGTACCCCAAAGCCTTGACCAACGTTCCCAAAGGCACAATCGGCTGTGCGTCTTGGTGGGCAATAATCGTTCCAGCTTTGTTTTGCACCATTTGCACTCGATTTTCGCCCGCCAAGGTTACGCTGACGTTGTCCATGGTACCAGCTTGGTCCTTCTCGGTTCGTGCTCGTAGCGGATGAGTCGCCCCGGAATCCAGGAGTCCCATGCGACTGATCCTGATCAGCTCCTCATTCTGCTTCATGAACTCCCGTAGTGCAGGTGAACGGCTTTCTTCTCGGGAGACTCCGTCTTCCACCCGCATTGTTTGCACCATCGGCTGCGACTTCTGCTCCATAAAAGCCTTCATCAGCTTCTGAGCATCCTCAATTAGCTGCTCCACCGGCACCCCCTGCACCGGCGTCTCTGTAGTTGTTGCTGGGCTAGTGGTCGTAGTTGATACTGTAGCCGGCTGAGCTCCACCTCCATCGCCGGGTTCCGCTGGTCTCTGCTGCCTGCCTCCCTTTCCACCACGGCCACCTGTTCCCCCCGTAGAGGATGCTGGCGAGTCCCCCGCCGAAACCGCCTTCTGCTGCACCTCCTTCTTGGTTGGACACGCCGAAGCCATATGGCCCTTCGCCCCACACTCGTAGCACCGATCACGCCTGTCAGCTTTGCTGAGGTCCTTCATGGTGTGCTCGTACTTGCATGCTTTTCCCCGTCTGCAGCCCTCATCAGTGACATAGAACCTGCAAGGCCTTGCTCCTTTTCCCGTCGACGACGGCGATGTTGGAGTCGAAGGTGCCGCGGCCTGTGGGGTCGAAGTCTCCATAGCTCTGACTCTGGCTGTAGAGGTACTCTCCTGAACTTGCTTAGCCTTTTTCTTGAAGCCCATCTGTTCGAACTCAGCCAACAAAGCCCGGTGCACCGCCAAAATCGACTCTTCAGACGGTGAGAAATCGACCTTCAGATGGTAGCGGAGCAAGTTCATACGGAATGCAACCTCCGGGTTGTCCTGGATTGGCCTTTTCACCAGCTGGTCGATCCCTCGAAGAGTCACCGACGGGTCAGGAACCGACAGCTTCAAATCACGAGCCCTCTGGTAATGCCTCAACCACTGCCTAAGCCCTTCAATAGCCTCCTGGAGTCCGGACTTTCAATCCTCCGCAGCTACTGACCCTTTTCCAAAGCACTCCCTGGACGATAAAGCACCATGAGCCTCGACAGGACCTCCAAGGTGGTCCGCGTCCTCGTCGCGACGAGCTCCTTCTTGATGTCATCTGGAGTAGCTCCGAGCAGGATTGTCGCCCCCCTCCGGTCCAAACGACTCCATTTTGTCTCGCTGAGAGCAGGGGACGCCGTTGGCTTCATAGACAGTCTCGAAAACTGGTCCGCTGCTTGGTACCTCTCATAGAACTCTTGAGCGTCTTGCACAACCGTCGCCCACCACTCTGCACTCGACGTAGAAAGATCGCTCATCACATGCTCTATGAGGTACAACCAGTCTCCAAAGTCCACCGACGACGAATCTGATATCTCAGGTAACTTGGGAGCATCTACTGCTTTGCTCAGCTCCTCCGGCTTCCCGTTCTTGATGACCTTCTCAAGCCCATCCAAAAGCCTTGACATAGGATCCGAGGCTTCAGCTGCGACTCCTCCAGGCTCCATTGCTCCTGATGCCATTGTTGTCGGGTTCATTTGCACCTGACCCGGTCGCTCACCAGGACCTGTAGCCATAGCCGTCCTTGCATATAGGCCCGATGCCCCTGTGGTAGAACAGCCTATTTGCACGCCCGACACCCCTGAGGTAGGACAGCCTGCATGTACGCCCGATCCCGCTCCGGTAGATGATCCTGCACATATGCCCGACACCCCCGCGGTAGGACAGCCTGCTTGTACACCTGATCCCAATCTGGTAGAGGATCCTGCACATAAGCCCGACACCCCCGCGGTAGGCCAAGTTGCATGCATGCCCGGTGCCGCCTTGGTAGAGGACCTTGCTTGTTGGCCCGAGACATCATTGGCCACTGCAGCTGCTCTATCCTCAACCTGGCTCTGCTGGTTAGCCAAATACCCTCCCAGCGTCACCGGCGGTCCTTCCGGCGCTGTCATATCCTCTAGCTGCCTGTTGGCGCCGGCTTGTTCACGTTCTGCTCGAAGGAGTGCTACTTCATGTCGCAGATCCTGTGCCTCTCGCTGCAGGCCAGCCCTACCGAGCGTGTGGACGTCCCTCAGGACCAGATGATGGGGGCGGTGGAGCACTCGTTCGGACAGATGAATGCGGCTCAGGCCTCGTGGAGTGTGATGGCTTCGCGAAGGGCAACGCCTGTGTGGATACAGAGGCTTGGGGCTTTCTTTCACGAGATGAGGAATCAGCAAGCGACATGGCCGCCCTCGCCGATTGGGTCGCCTCCGGCGAGGCAGATGAGCTCGCATGGGTCGCCTGAGTTGGGACAAAGAGGGCGCGGCTCACCCGCTCTGCTGAGCCCTGAGCAACAAGAGCAAATGCGAAGAATGGAGCAAAGGGCGCCTCTCCTGTATGGGCCTCCGAGAAGCGAAAGACCGCCAGATGCAAATGGAAGCTCTGGGGGAAGCACTTACGAGGCAGTGCAGGAAGAGGTCAAGAGACAGTTGAGGGGTGTCGTCACTCAACTGGAGGCCTCGAACGGCCTGCCAATTCGGGCTGCCTCCAGACTGTCCAGTAGCCACTGCCACCGCCATTGTCCTTACAGCAATACCACCATCTGCCTCCTGATTGCCAGCCGCCATTACAGCGTCCTGCACTGACTCTTGCGCATCGGCAACGGCAGTTGCGCTCGCGGTATTTGGGCTCATACCCTGTTGATGCGCTTCTGCTGGGCTTATTTCAGAAAGGGCAGTCGCATAGTCAGGTTCTCACGAAGCTTCCATCACGGCAAGCGAGGTGACCACTACTTTTTCTCACAGCGAACGTTGTCTGCTTGCTTCTTAACCATGCTTTCAGGCTCTAAGTTGTACAGTCGTGAGCTAGCATGGAAAAGATCGGCTCAAGGGGCTCTACGCAGCCTTCACCCTTGAGTTTCCCAGCACATAGCAAGGTTGCACTGCTCATCTTTACAAACGCAGCACCCTCACCATGAAGTCAAAAAGCTTGCAACAAACCAAGCTATACACTTGAGGGCTTGTGAGCATCAACACTTATGGTTCGTTGACAGCGGGTATGTAGGGTACATGAGAGGTCTCAACCTCAGCCCTAAACCCAAGCTCCTTCTAAAACTAGATGAAGTTTCAGATGCTGCCGTTTTTTGGGGGATGTTTGGGGTCTAAATTGAAAAGCCAGTTCTGAAGCTTGAAATCCTCAGCCCTACACCCCCAAGATCCAGAGAATCGTCTTCCGGGAAAAGAGGCCCAGACGCTGGTCGGCGAGAAGATCTGGCGAGGGCAGGTCGCTAGGGTTTAGGGTTTAGGGTTGAGGCCACGAATATCCTGCTAAGTACCCACTATTAAGGACCATAAAGGTTCAGGAATATACTCTAAGTACCCACCATTAAAAAGGACCACAAGGGTTCAGGGTCTAGGGTTTAGGGTAGACTGGAAACAGGTTCGGAAACAGGTCCTCAGGATTTCAGACGGTCATCATTTTCTTTGTGAGTTCTTGAGAAGCCTTTGTTTTCTGAGGTTTTTGTAGGATCTATAAGAGTTTCTCGGTCTCCCCTTGCTTTTAGATGTATGCTTGAAAAGAGGGGTTCTACGGTTGATGGTATAACTCCTGCATTGCCTTAAGGACCCCCACCTATTGGAATTATATGGTATATTCCTGATTATGGGTAATGCAGGATGTCTAGTTCCAATTTCGGGCTCTACGCAAAGCATGTGCGGGCATTCTGGGAGTTGCTCATGGTTCTCTCGGGCTCGTGCAAGCTCTCAGGAGGCAAACATAAGGGTTAGGGCCTGTTAGGGACTTCGACGCGCAGGGTCTTAAGCTTTTCGGGTTTGGCGGTGTTGGGCCTTGGGCGTTTTAAAAACGGTTAATTAGACTGTGTCAGCCTAGGCTTACACAAAGGCTATGGGGTGCTTTAGAGGGTTTTTGCCATGGGATCACTGTTAGTACCACAACCTTAAATAACTATACCATCCTTTTTCTGACGATAGGATGTGTAGTTACTGCCATGCCACACTATTACCAGCATCACAATGGTTGATACCACACTGTACTACACTGTACTATATGCCCTAAGCTCATATCTACTCGTGAAGGGCCCAATATCAGTATCATTTCGGGTCTACCCTAAACCCTAAACCCTGAACCCTAAGGTATGAGCCCAACCTCTCACGTGGCTTGAGACTAAAGGATCGCAGGGCTCTCTTTCGTCCATCTCGATGCTCCGCTGTAAGCGGGATCCAAAGGGGGCACTGTTAGAATGCAGGGAGAGGCTCCATGAGAGCCAAGCTCTGCTACAGATTTTTCAGGAGCATTGGGCTCTGTGTCTTATAAAACCCCCCTGGACGTTGCGATCCGGGGTGTTGGAATGATGTCCGAAATCTCGAGGCAAAGCCCAAGTGTTCTCGCCCAAGGTAGGTTCCGAATCCTCCTGTGGTTCAGAGCCCTGAAGGTGCTACACTACGTCTCTGAGCTCGTCACCGAGCTGGAGACGTCTACCTCCTCTCACTTGTACCAAAACGCATCTGGGCCAGATTCCTGGGTCCTTGTTGGATACTTTTGTTATAATAAAACCCTAATAAGGATTAAAAATGAAATTTTTTAGATATGGCCCCAACAGGGAACCAGATTCGGGGGTAAAACGTTCCTTCTGGGACTGGGACTTCCGGGCTGGACGAAGAGCCGGAACCCAATGGGAACAACACGGATTTTGAAGGCTTCGGGTTGCCATTCTATTTTGGGGCTAGGGTGTAGAGGGTTTAGGGTTTTAGGGTTTAGGGTTTTAGGGTTTAGGGGTTAGGGTTTAGGGGTTAGTAGGGTTCCTTATGCTACTTGGAACACGTTCCCAGACCCTGTTCTCGCTATTGACAGTACGGCCGCTATCGTGTTTTGGGGCCTAAAGCCTAAAGCCCCCTAAACCCTAAACCCTCATACCCTAAACCCTAAGACCCTAAATCCCTAAACCCTAAAGCCCTAGATCCT